CCAGAGTAAAGCCACTTTTTCAGAATTGAGTCCTAAGCAGCTCTTTGGCTTTGGTGAGATACTTGTGAGGACAGGTTCTTTGAGTGTTTTTGGAAAGGTCCTCGCGTTGGTTCCTACGTTGCTGTTGCTCGCTCTTCTCTTTACCCTCTCTCCCACCCCCTTTCTTTGGTTTTTTTTTGTTTTCTTTCTCTCCTCCCTATCTTTGGTATCGTCATGGTGTACTGACTCAGAGTTCAACACAGATGTTGAGTAATTCCATTTTTTGTCAGGAGTTTAAATTTAGTGGGGCAGATGTGAATATAGTCTGCTGACCAGAGCTTAGTCCTTCCATTTAAGTGGATAATCTGAAGCATTACTAAACTTAGAGAGGTGTTTGGTAGAGACGTCTTTATAGCTGTGTATTTACATCAGCTCTGTGTATATTCACCCACTCACAATGTAATTTACATCCTACTGACCTTAGAATTTTGGTAAGGATGTCATGAAATAATTATGTATTTCTTACGTTATGTTTGTTTTAATGCACAATTTGAACTGGGATCTGTGTGGTGTTCAATGGCTGTAAAGGCTCTCGATTTACCGGTGAACACTGTGTTGTGCTTCATCTGCAAGATGTCTATTCTTGTGTAAGAAATCTTAAGGCAGTCTTTCATTTATGCTAGCATGTGACCTTCTGGGCTCTTCTGTCTTCTGAAAATAGCATACCTTCTCTGTTTGTCAACTTGTGTGCTGGAAAACATTCTCCATTTACATTCTTAGCACTGCACAGTTTTCCTGTGCCATCTTATAAACAGATACCTTCTCTTAAAAAGTCACGTACCACCTTTTCTGCACTAGACACTGGGCTTTCCCGTGGCAAATTGATGAGCCCCTACTTTTGTTGCTGCAGAGCAGCATTGTGAAAGGGGGGAGCTCTTCAGCTATAGGAAATCTGACTGGTAAGAACTTGCTGTGAGTGGGTACAGAGCAAGGGTAGCCGGGAAGAAGTTTGGATCTGCTCAAGTATGGCCTTTTTGCTGATAAAAAATGCTTTGTATTTAACAGTGGCTAAACATGGGATCTTGTGGGTGGTAAATTTTTCGTATGCTTGGTGGGAAAAATTAAAAGGAACCTCGTTAAGTGGCTATTGTTGATCTCAGATAATGCTGTTGCCAGGATATGTGGCCATATAACATGAACTTGTGAAGCCAAAGTTGTCTCTTGGGAGAAGTTAACGTAGCTCTGAGGTGCTGGTTAAAAACATCGCCCCGATGAGATTGTGTCGTCTTTTCCTTCTGCAAACTTTTTGCTAGAGCAGAATAAACAAAAATAACAGAGAACATGAATTTCCTCATTTGGAGGGGCATAAATTCGAAAGCAAGATCATCTCTTGCTTTGAAGCCTTTTTTTTTTTCCTTTCTTTTTTTTTTTTTTTCCTCTGTCTTTCCTCTTAGTGCTAGTTTTGTGTATCTAGGGGTTTCACTGGTCTCATTGGTAGGTGTCTGGAGAAAATGGAAGCTGCTGTTTATTGCTAGTGTATAATCACAAATATAACTTGCACTGCACGTGGTTGCTTAACAACAGTCAGTGTATTGGGGAATGCAGAAAGAAAAGAATCTGGGTAGGTTTTGGGTGTTAGAATCTTGTGATATTCTTTCTGTTGAGGTCTTGCATGTTGTGCTTCTTTTCATATTTTACTGCCTGGTGTGGGATGTTGCTATTTAGTAAGGGATCACTCCAGATTACAAAAGGATTTATATCGAAGAGTGTTTGTGTTCTCCTTCCCATTGATGTGCTTTAGGTTCTGCTGCGTAGGAAACTTACTAACCAAAATAAAAACAACCTATAAGGCTGTAGCATTATTGTGTATCTGGAGTATAAACATTGCATAAATGGCAAGCAACACTCATAGAGATACTAAAAATAATAATTTATTTACCTCTATTAAAAGTCATGAAGTTCGTAAATAAATGTTAAATAGTTGTCTTTCAGTTCACCATTTTTCATATTAGGTCAAGATGGCAAAACAGTTGTGATGCTGTGATCCATCTGCAAGAACCAGTTTATTTTGATAAAGTTTAAACTCTACTTAATGTTGAAACTGTAGCTGAGTTGTCTGATAAATGAGTGTCTGGCTTTGTCAGAAACTCTTTTGTATGGATCTATTATTTTGTTAGAAACGTCTGGTTCATAGCTCCTATTTCAGATTCTGTGTGACTGAAAGTTGACTTCAGTGGTTCAGGCAGTGATGATGTTTTAGAACAAGTGCTTGCCCTCTCTTTCACTGGCCAAAAGGTGCCATGTTTGGGAAGGAGACAGTTCTTCCCTCTGTGGACTGAGTTTGTTACCACTGCAGAGCTTTCTGCCATTGTCCATTGAATTTGCAAATGAGAAATGAGGACTGGAATGACTAATAAGGGTGCTTCTGGACAGTGGGGCGTTTTAGATGGATTTGTGGTTGTTAAATATGGTGTGCCTAAGTATTTCTTGCCATACCCTGATTGCTGGGCCACGCTGCAGCGCTCTCAAAATCTAGATGAGTAGGTTTCTGATGTGAAAGTTAGGGATGGCTCGACACTTCCCCAGTGATGCGCCAACTATTGTCAGTGTCATATCTGCCCACATACAGCTTCTGAGGGCAATTAGACTGTAGGTTGGACTTGAGCCCCCAAAGCTGTATCCAAGCTTGTCTTATACTAACAGCCCCTATTGTGGATGTGCTTTATTAGCACCAGCATCTATAGTCAAGGGCTGCAGATGTAGCTGGAGATTCTGCCATTATAGCTGCTGTCTTTGTGGTACCCAGGTGACAAGGATTTTTGTTATGCTGGATCGCAGAGCTGCAGCAGTATTTCTGGTTTGCACGCTATGTGCAGCTCAAGTACTGATCAAGTGTGATTGTGGCAGGTAGATAGCCAAAATCCAGTAAATGCTGTGCATCGGAAGGGAATGCCTGGAATGCAAATGGTGCTCAGACATTAAGAAAACTCTTTCAGACTACAGCTGTAACAGAAGAATTTCAAGAACTGTTCGTCAAGCTTAGTGTGTGCTGAGGCTTTCCATACTGTGCTTTGGAAAAGAGACTTATGGAAAGATTCTTCCTAGTTAACAAAAATGAGAAGGATGATGCAGAGATAGATTTAATCTAGCATTTAGTGTTCACGCACGTGTTGTCTAAAACAGCCACAGAGGAATATTGAGTAGTTGTCAAAAGACAAGAATTGTGAAGGGGAATTCCACTTGCTTGTTAACAAGATAAGCAAAGGAAAACTTTAAGTTTAAAATCAATAACTGTTTTCTCTGTTGTCATGTCCAAAGGAGAATTGTGGTAGTTCTATAATAGTTACATTAAGATGATATGAAACAAACAGCAGGAAATACAATTTTAAATAACCCCATGCTGGCTGGCAGGGTAATAAGGGAGGAGAAGGAAAACCGAGGCTTTTCACTCTTTATCTGTTTTATCAAATTAAATTTGATTTATAAAGTTGAGTCCCAAATCCTTGGGATTTTTTTCACAATAGCCTTTGGAATTAGTTAGGAAAATGACAATAAGTACATATTGCTGTGCCTAAATTTGAACTAGTGACGAAAAACTTGCCTGTAATGGGAAAAGCAGAATAGTTCAGGGGAACTGTCATGCCTCTGAAGTATGCTGGATATTGGACAGCATCTACCAGAAAGACGTTTGTTGTTGCTATTAAACACCATGATACCTTGTGTTCTGATTTGCTGGAATATGGGGAAGGAAAACCAAACTCATTGCTGCTCCTGCAGTGGGAGGGGTAGGGAGTCTCTGATGGCAGTAACACACAGGTGGCCCAAGAGGCAGCAGTGCTTTGGGACAGTTTCTGGTTAGCGTGTGCCTGCTCTTTTGTCTCTGTGCTCTTCTGGCTGACCTATCTTGGATGAGTACATTGACGTAAAACCAAAGCACTGTGTGGCTGAAATTATTAACTTGAGGGAAAGGCTGTGTGGCAGAGGCCAAATGGCTGTGCTGCCTGTGAAGTAATCTGGTGCCAGTCTCAGCAGGTGTCTTGGCACTTCCTTTCATCCTCTTCCTTGAGAGTGGAAAAATGCCCTGCCTGTAGTGATTACGACTTTTACACAGCGATGCTCAGAAGTAATTTCTCTTCTTCAGCTGTGAGAAAAACTTCCCTATTCCTAAACCCCAGCTGTTTCCCCTTTTGGCCATTGCCTGACTTTTATAGTTTAAAAATGAACTACTCTGCTATACACATGCTGGTTCTTGAACTATTATGTTTAGATAAAGGCAAGACTTTTCCGTAAGGGCGATGACTATTCTTTTGTGTTCGACCCAAAGGGGAAGTCCCTGAAGAGCCATGTTCCATGGAAACGTAGTGGAATTATTTTTGTGTTTGGATGGGCTAATCTTTTATCCTTATGTTTGAACTGTTAATTCTTTTTTAGCTGTAAAGTATTATGAGAAATGTAGCTGAATCACTTGAGTAAAAAGTTGCTTATGCCAAAAGAAACATGATAAAAAAATTGAAAGTCACTGCAGAGTTCAGTAGGTCTTATTTGCAATGTGATGGAAAAAATCAGTGTGATACTGGTTGAGAGCTCCAGTAGGTTTTCCTTGAGGAGAGGAAGTTCTTATTTCCAAATGTGTCTTGGATCTTTGTGCAGCTTTTCTAGCATATGTGATTTGTGCAATTAATTTCCCATATTACTTTAACAAATGATAATTTCATAGTTGCTTTCCAGCACTCAGGCTCTGGTGTTGTAAATACAAATCTTGCAAACTACCATTATGTAAATATACCTGAACTTTGATGTACTGCTGAGTAAAACCATAGTAGTACCTTTTGAGTGACAGCTGTGTTTAAATACCCACAGACTGCTATTTAGTCAGACAATTGCAAAAAAAACCCGCTATCATCTTTTGGATTGTGGATTCAAATTTAGTCTGAGCTCATGTCTGGAGAACTGAAAGATGCTATCTTCTATCTAATGGATTTTTCCTTTTCTCCCCACCCTTTTTTCCTTCCTCTAGTACACAAGAGGCACCGTGACAGCCTTCTCTCCTTTTGATGCCAGAGCTGATGCAGAAGCTCTTCGTAAGGCCATGAAGGGAATGGGTAAGAATAATTTATTTCACGAAAAGGAAAGGGCTCGTGCTCCTTTGAAACCATCCTTTCTGAAGTAATTTTTTTATATTAGCAGATAAGGGAAGGGCATGCATCTGCATGCCATGGAATGACAACCCCAGGACTGCAGGAGTCTGGGCGCGTCCTAGTTTTGACTGTGCTGCTCAAGGGTGTTTATTTTTAGGTTAGCATAAGGGGAAAAAGAAGGTGGTTTGCACGTTCTCCATTAAAAATTGATACTCCACAGGCTTCTCTGCACACAGAGTTTTACTGCACAGTAAGCTAGACTGTGGATTTACAGGCGACAACTGTGGAGAGTTATGACAGTATAGTAGAAGCTCTGTGCTTGGAAAATGTGTGACAGCACCCTCGGTCTGGAAGTGCATAAGCACATTACAGTTACTGTGAACAAAGAATGCAAGCACACAGCATGAATGTAGACTAACCAAGTGGTCCGTAAACTCATGCTATAGCTTTCTGCCCCCAGATTTCCCTGTGAGAACAAATCCTAATTTGCTACTTTCTTTGAAGCTGCCTGCGGAAGGAAGTAGAGAGAAGGGAAATGTGATACACCTTACCTATTGGCAAATTCGGAAGGGCTAGTAAGATGCTGTGTTGTGAGGGCTGCCTCACAAACTATAGTACATAAAATGGACAATTGGTCTGCATTTCTGTACACTGGATTGTTTGGGGTTACTGGACTGAGTTTTGCTGGGAGGTGGCAGATTGTTTATTCTAAAGTGAATCCCTCGGTGAGCCCACAGGCAAAGCTTCTATGTAGAATACAGGCTGTGACTGAATGTTACAGCTGATGGGTGCTGGGAGCTGGGAACACGTAGGTCCTTCAGTCTTATTTTCGCAACAGCAGAACACCAAACCTGACGGCTCAGCTTGGGGTATGGTGACATTTGTTATTTAAATGCTTCTGCTGTTTGTCAGTAGACTGTTATTTTCAAAGAATCTTTCGTTGCCTTTTGAGTTTGTGCCACTGCTGTTTGTTTTTTAGAGTGTGTTTGTAACTCTCTGTTCTTTCTAACTTCAGGGACCGATGAAGAAACTGTTCTGAAGATCCTTACCAGCAGAAACAATGCTCAGCGTCAAGAAATAGCGTCTGCCTTTAAAACCTTATTTGGCAGGGTGAGAAGAAGAAAAACACCTCTAGAAATGAGCTGAATGTGGCCTCTGATGATCACTTAATACTGCGAGGCATATTCATCACGCTCCCTGTAAACGGTTCCTTCAAAGAAAATCTAGTTTTGCTTCTATCTCCCCCTCTCCCCCACCCTGGCATATCCTTAATTGCTGGCTAGGTTAGAATATTTCTTCTAGGTTAGCACAAAGAAGTTAGTTACTTTTTCTGTATTTTGGTCCAAAGTATCTTAGGTGGGTTTCTGTGCAAAAGCTCCTGTAGTTTCCTGTTAGTATGCTTCTAGTAGTGACCTCATTCTCAGCGTGGAAGGAGTTACCAAATATTATGTTGCAAGGTCTGGAATGTAAAGTGATAGCACGGAAAGAGTTTTCTAGAGCTAGAAAATGTGACAGAAATAAAGCAGCCTAATACTGTAGCAGAGAACAAACCCAAATATATTGGGAGATAAAGCCATAAGTGAGTTTAAAGCAAAGACAGCTTGTTTCTTTCTTCCAGCATTGTTGGATCCTTTCATATTCTGGCTGGGTAACCTTTGTTTCAAACAGCAAGTGCAGTGAACAACTAGGGTTTAAAGAACTTCTATATTGAGGGGGAAAAAAAAATCACAATATGCTTCAGGTTTTCCAAATTCCCTTGTATCCTTCTCGTCTGCCTTACTTGGCTACATTTGTTTCAGTTCAGGTACCAATTAAAACAAAAGGAGTCCTGTCTCTTTACTCTTTTTGCTATGTCTCCAGAGTGTTCTAGCTTGCAGACACACACATCCATTTTAAAATGTTTAGTCCTTCTTCATTACAGCACTGTTTGTTCTGCATTAGGATCTTGTAGATGACCTGAAATCAGAACTTACCGGCAAATTTGAAACGTTGATGGTATCTTTGATGAGACCAACTTATATTTTTGATGCTCATGCGCTGAAGCATGCCATCAAGGTAAGAGGAGTGTGGGAAAGGAATTAATACATTATATGAAATGTTTGTTGCTCTTTTGTTGTTTTTTAGGAATGAACTTTCGGTTGTTAAGAGGAATGCCAATAGAAGTAGCTCTTTTTTTTTTTTTTTCTATTAGGAATGTTATGCTAACACCTGCTATTATTGCTGATGCCATGGTTTTGCCTGGTTTCTTATTCATCCTAATAATTCATTAGAGATAGTTTAGAAATCTAGTCTGTATAATGTTTTATGTGAAATTATTTTCATGAGAAACTACGTAATTTTAAGAGAACAGTGTTGCTGTAGATGCAGATTAAAATCTATATAGCATAAGACTAAGACTTGTTCCTTCTGATTTAAATATGGGTAGATGTGCATGTTGCTTTTAAATTCTTTTTGCTGCTGAAGTACAGTGCTGAAGTCCTGTGGACACTAGATTTTTTATGCTGTAAGCAACCTAAAGTTTATAAGCTATACAGTTGTATGCATAGGCTGCAAATTAGTTCAAGGCATTTCATTAAAGTGTGATGTTATTTGTATGTCTATTTGACTATTATTTATGCTAGAGAGTGTTTTGCCCCGATGGATCACAGTGCAACTCCAAAATAGATGGGCTAGCATACTTGTGTAAACTGGTGTCCACCAAAATCATAAGCGGGTATTATCGGTGTTATTGAATACCTTCTAAAAGCTGCCTCCAGCAATACAAAGGGAAGAGTTGATAGCCCTGTCACGATTACCTTTCCAACATTTCTCTTTAGCTGCATATAATCAGTGCCTTTCTCGGAAGGCCAGCTGAACAATTTATATTGTATGGGTAGATATTTTAGTGTGTTTTCTTCCATGCGGTCCTATTTTTTTTTTGCCTCTGTCACACCTGTCTGACATCGCTAGCCTGTGGAAATTCAGGAATTGGATGTCCCTGGATTATTCACAGAACCTGTTGATTAAAGTAGAGGACATTGAACTTGTCCCGTGTCAGGTAGTGCTTGATTGAGTGCCACATGTAAACTGCCAAGATCCCTGATGACAAACTGGTTAATATGTGGGCTTTAGTCAACTGTGCAAGCTAGCGCTCATGAACTCACAACCCAGCAAATAGTATCTCAGACAACAGAAACTTTAATCCTGGAAATGTTCTGTAATGTCTTTATATGCAGTGGGGGAAGGGGAGATGGCACCTGACTGAGAAACTGATAAAGGCCTTGTTGACTAAAAGGAAAAAATGTATTCCGAAGCTCCTCTTGTTGACTTAGGAGTCAAAGACCGAGAGGGAAATGACAGAACAGAGGGGCGTAGGAGGGAAAATAGAGATAATGAAACAAGAGTGGTTTTGTTCTTGTCGCGTACAAAAAATGATAGTAAACACAAGATCATAGGATTTCAGAGAATGTGCCTGCACAGGAAAAGATGTCGATACTAGCTGCAGTTCATCTAAGGTGGATAACACCAGTAAAGAAGATGTGATAGCAGACACTTCAGTGCAAGATAACAACTCCACTAAGAGCATTAACTGTGCTGAAGAGCTTCCTGTCAATTTTCACTGCTGCTACTTAGATTAGAACTAATACAACCGTGCCTGCCTCACTTGTTGAGTAGGCATGTTCTTGCAACCACCTGTGTTTTGAAAATGATTACATGTAATCTGCCAGATTTGTATTTTGGATATCTTTGTGTGCAGTTAGTATTCAGATTTTCCTTACAGAAAAGGTTGTAAATAACATGCTGAAACAAAGAGTACACAGTATTGTATTTTTCCTTTGGAAGCGTGAAGAGCAATGGCTTATTCTTACAGACAAAGTAGACTCAGGCTTGTGGAAACAAGATATTGGCTTGACTTTTGTAAATTTTATCCTTCTAAAAGTGAAGAGTACCTGTTGTGCCTGCTGTAATAGAGTGCAGCAGCTTAAACTATCTGGGTTAGCAATTCTGTTGTAAAATGTGTGTGTTTGCAGTGGAAGAGGGGGTGGGTTTAACATAGCACAATTCATAGAAGGGTAAAGCTCATCGCTGCGTGGCTCTACGTTTATCTGTGTACTAGTTGATGAAAGACAGTATATGAACTAGAGGTAAGATGGAAACTGTTACTCTGCTCATTCACTTTGATGTCATTGACTGTAATAGTGAAGAACCGAGGCGTTTGTGGGTGTGCTTGAACATGGAAGGGCTCATCTGAATCCTGCAGTAGTGAGCCTTTATTAAGAGTTGGGTTGGTTTTGAAAACAGCCAAGCTGGAACTGGAAGAAATTCTTTCCAAAATCTCCACAATATACCAGAAAGAAGAAATTAATTTTTTCTTTATTTGGTCCAAGTGTCTAAACTGGTGCTTGTTTTTGATTGTTAAAGGGAATTCCTGTTTTCCTTTTGTGTTTCCATCAACTGATTTATACTTGCATCTCTGCAGGGAGCAGGAACCAATGAGAAAGTGTTGACTGAAATTCTTGCCTCGAGAACACCTGAGGAAGTACGGCACATTAAACAGGTTTATCTGCAAGGTAAAGTTATGTATGAAATAAAGTTCTAGGATCTCTGTTCAGTTCTCTTAATATGATTTTAGCTAATCGTTCTTATTGGTCTATCTGTGAACTGATGGATGCGTCCAATAAGCGGGATTTCATTCTGCTGTGTTGCAAAACTTCATATTGAAAGAAACTAGAGTTTGGATTGTAAACTAAAATAGTCTTTTATTTTGGTGATGTGACTGCAAGTTGTGGTGTTTTGTGCTTTATACTTAGAATTCATTCAAACGCATTTCTTTCTCTCACCCATTATTTTCATCCCTTTGACTGAAAGGGGGTTTTTAGTAATTGGAGGCTCGAAAACTGGTATCACAGAAAAAAAAGAGAATTGATTTTTTGCCTTTTGTTCAGCGTTCTGTTCAAATGAATTTGCGCTAAAGCAGGTGCACCTTTTTGGTTATCCACAGGAGTATGTGCTTTTACCCTGTAATTGTAGGGTTGGGTTTTTTTTTAAGGCAGTGTTTAATTCAACATATTTCTTTTACCTCTAGGCAGATTCCTGCCACACAAGGAATTCTCATGTCTTAATAAAGTTCAAGGCAAAACTTAAGAGTTTCCAAGGGCAAAATTCATTATTACTAGACTTTTCTGGGCTCACAGTTGTTGCACAGTTGTGAGACTGCCATATTTTAGCATCACTCCAGATCTGTATGCTCTTTAGTTCCTTAAAGAGCTGAATCTATGCCTGTCACCTTGTATTTCAAAATATTTTTGAGTAATCTGCTCCTGATACTAGGTGTGAGATGCTGTCTTTTCACCTCTTTTACAACAATGTTGGGTTATAAGTAAAAGCAGAGTATGTCCTAGTTGTTAAAGCTGTTTCTGATAAATTATTCTACAAGCTCTGATTCAAATTAACTTTTTGCTTTTCCTTGTTTTCTCCTCAAAATAGTAAGGAAGTCTGAAAGGTGATGAATGGGTGTTGCTCTTTTGCAGAGTATGAGGCCAACTTGGAGGATAAGATCACAGGAGAAACATCAGGCCATTTTCAGCGGCTGCTGGTGGTCCTGCTGCAGGTGAGTATCTCTTTGTGTATAGGCATGTGTGTATGATTTTTCACTTCTGTTTTCCTGTCTGATGTACACTTGTCACTTTCTGCTTACCAAGCAGGGATTCTGGATAGACCTGGTGATAGGCAGGTCTGGTTCTAAAACCGAGTCACTTTCCCTGACTTGCAGGGTCTGTCTTGAGCTCTGGTATGGGTCATTTCTACATCACTGAATTGAAAAACTTCTGTGATGCTCATGGGTAGAGCAGAATGCCTGCTACATGGGGTTTTGAAGGCAATATTTCAAAGACACATGCAAGCAGAAGGGAAAAATAAGGTGATCTTGGAGAAAGTCCATTAGGGGTTGACTTCTCGCAGTAACTCTTACAGGTGCAATATAACAGATAAGTTGTTTTTTGATTCAACTTTTGATTCTTCAGTTTAACAACTTTTAAACATTCTCTTTAGGCGAATAGAGATCCTGATGGCAGAGTTGATGAGGGTCTTGTTGAGCAGGATGCTCAGGTGGGTGAATGACATGGGTTTTGGTGCATTTCTACAAGTTATCTTGCGAAGAGAGTATACAGCTAGAATTCAAATGTGAGAGAAATTGTTAAAGTTCTCTGTGTGTGTTTCTTACTACATTTTCCCATGCTTTTATACATTCTGGACAAAAGAACTGTCAAAACCTGCAACATTGGGATCAAGATTTTTGGCACTTTCACGTTTCGGTGTAAAGCATGTCTTGTTTTGCTTATTACTTAATGAGATGCCTGAATGGAACAGTGATTAGATCACTGGAAGAGAGAGCTCTGATTGAGGCTTTGTGATGCTGAGAGACCCACTGCTGGAAAACTCAAGAGACGTTAACAATTCATTCCTTAATATCTGGCTTGAGCTTCTCTCTGAATTCAATCCTTAGGTATCATGTGTCATATACGTGTTGTAGTGAAATGCTAATGCTATTTGGTAAGGGATGCCTCCAGAGAGGGTGAAATACTAAAAAGAGAAAATATACCAAATATTCTGCTTTATTGTAACAGTCTAAGAATTGCCTCTAAAGAGTTTGTAGGGACTCACATATTGCCCTTTGTGAGCATTGTCCATGATCACGATCGTTGTCACTGATCACGAAACCTGTGCTCTAGGCAGGAAGAGGAATACCAGCAGTTAATTGGTATCCTTGATGCAGTCTCTTGCTGGATGCTATTGGCTTTGTAGTGGTAGTCAATATTTCAGCAGTTTGATTACAGAACTCATTTAATGCATGTTTCTTCTCAGTTATTTCAAATAACTCTGGGCTAGACGTTTTACTCTCATTAATTGTCAGCTGAGATGAATTGTCCGAGGTGACAAGGAGGAAAAGCAGAATACCAGACCAATAAAACATTCTCCTGATAGCAGGGCAAGATGGAGAGACAGACTGGCAAAATATGTTTTACTGGCGCAGGCCTATCCTTTGTTATATAAATTCAGAAAGCACTGTTCTCCTGATATTAAAATTAATCCTGTGGAAAATGGAGCTTGACAATTAGTGAGGCAAATGTTTGAATCGTGAATTAGACTGTTTCATGAAGCTGTGTCGGTCTTGCCTTTAGCTGGGCTTACGTAATTGAGGAAACCCGTGAACCACAGGCCTTGGTAGGTAGATTCCTTTTGGCCTCTCTAATTGCATTTAAACGAACATCTAAATTTAGAAGGCACCGTATGTAAATGTTGAAAAAGTCCTGTTTTTCTAAACGGTCTCTGTGGTTTGTTGTGTACATTTGACTTGAGCTGGGACCCAAACAAAGAAGTGTTCTGTCACATTTATCTTTATTGATATCTTTACATTCAACATATAACATAGCTGGAACAGATTCAGAGAATTTTCTAGTTGTTATTCCCAGGTGCAAATGGTCAGAATCGAGGTACGTGAGTGTGCAAATGTAAGACTTTTTTTGGCTTCCCAGTGTTTCTGTTGATTAATATATTCTGGGAAGGATTTGATACGTTAGAGGGCAAGCTTTTGCTCCATGGTGATTTTTAATTTTTTGGGGTCAATGATTACTAAGCATTAATTAAGCAGTTGGGGAATGGACATTCACACTACAAGATAGTATGAATATGCAGGGAACTTGCAAAACTTCGCTGAGAACACCTGAAGGAGAATGTTTAACTTTTGGAAGAGATTTTGTGACTAAAAAAGTTATGCAATTGACGTACATTTTGGGTATTGCACAGCGACAAGGCAGGTAAAAACTTAGAGCTCACATAAAATGCCATTCACAACTTCTAGTATCTCTAAATAAATGCATTCCTGGCGTTTCTAAATGCTGTGCTGGTACTTCAAATTTGCTACTGGATGGAGACTGCTGGTATTCATTTGAAGAGCTTAGCATATATTATTTGAACTAAATATCCTTGCAATGCCTTAATAGTTTTTTTGGTTTTTTTTGGTTTTTTCCCCCTTTTTTAGCTGTACCATTAATATTAAAAAGAGCGTGCAGCAGTCACAAATGGTTTGAATAGGATTGTGGGACAAACATAAATAGGAAATTCATAACATCCCGTTCAGGTTTTGCAATGTGGACAGACAGATGGCTAACAGCATTGCCATGCAGCAGATTTGGTTGTGGGGATTTTTCTAAGAAATATTTGACTGCCTAAATATAGGTGGTAACCTGTTTGCCTGTCCTCTGCTCACTGAGGAGGGAGAAAAAAATACCATATAGCACAATATGTACAAACCTTTCTCCTTACGTGGTGTTTAGCACACAATTTGGAAAAAAACCTTCTGAGTGTCAGGAAGAATAACTGATTTCTTTTTCTGATTATTTTATTTTTCTTTCTCCTTTTCCCCCTCCTGTTGCTTATTCTAAGTTTTAAAAGTGCTTTACTTTCCAAAATGCTGCAAATCGCCTGGTCATCGTCTGCATTGAAAAAAGACTTGCCTGAAGAGCAGTGAATGTGCTAAAACGATTAAATGATTAGAATCTTAAGCAGCCTGCAAATCCTGTTTCTGAGAGCTTCTAAATCCATCTTCCCCTCCGTATTGGAAAACTTCCTCCTGGGCCAAGTTAGCATGGTTCTCCCATTATATGAGTCATCATGTAATAAAGTTTTGCTAGTCTGATATGAAAAGGGGGAAGGAAAAAAAAAGGCAGAAAAAGTATTGGGAATGGATTTTATCTCCTGTATTATCACAGTTTCAGAAAACCTTTGGCTTATGAAGGGGGCTAAGCGCACAGTCCATTTTAGAGCTTTAAGCCATGTTATTCATGTGAATGCTTTCACAGTTGATTTCAGAATTTATCATTTATTTCTTTCTAAAGTCAATTCAGTAATTGACAACTTTATTTCATTTTTTTCCCTCCAGCTATAGCTTGTTAGTAAGTTTAATGCTCCTTAGAGTGAGACAAATCAAGCTTTTCTACACGGTATGTGGACACATAACAAATGCTGTTGTTTTGATCTCTTGAATTTACAACAGGTTTTGTTTAGAGCTGGGGAGCTGAAATGGGGAACAGATGAAGAAAAGTTCATCACCATCTTGGGAACCCGAAGCGTTTCCCATTTAAGGAGGGGTAGGTTTTATGGTTCACGTACACTTGAAAACTTCTGCCTGAAATCTCAGCGTTACCCAACTTGGTGGTAGAAAAATTGTTTCTGGTACCACATTTGTCAAGCCCAGAAATCTTTAATCACCTCTTCCCTGTACTTAATATATTTAATTTTGTTTCCTGGAATTCCGTTTCCCCCCCCTAGCAGTGGTGATCTCCTGCTTGAAGGAGTGGTGCAATAGATCTGAGGGACAGCTGGGGTGTTTCTTTCTGGATGCTTCTTTATTATTATTTTTTCCCTTTTGAAAGAGGTCGTGGCAGTAGAAGTGATACTGAGAGTCCGTTATGATTCATCATAATCTGATGGAGTTCCAGACCTGAAGGGCACGTTGCTGCCTCATGTTCAACTTGGTGTCCACCAGCACCCCCAGCTCCTTTTCTGCAAAGCTGCTTTCCAGCTGGTTGACTCCTAGTGTGTGCTGGTGCATGAGGTAGTTCCTCCCTAGGTGCAGGAATGCATTGTATAGTAGCAATCCAGTAGAAAATAGGTATTTAAAATAGGACAGAAGAAAGAATGAGTGGACGATAGTGTTTGAACTGTGGATAATGAGATACAGATGGCACTAACCTGTACAGAGGAGGGTACTGGGAGAAATGCTGGCTAGACACCTGACTAAGCACACTTTCTGTTTTGCAGTGTTTGACAAATACATGACTATTTCTGGCTTTCAAATTGAAGAGACCATTGACCGTGAAACCTCTGGTGATTTGGAGAAGCTGCTTTTGGCAGTTGGTAATTAAGTCTTATTAGATCTAGAATTGGCTGTCTTCATTTACTATTGGGCCTCCTTAAATGGCATTATTATAGGAAGTGGCATGAAAACATGATTCCTTTTTAAAGTTAATCACCTGGAATTGTAAATTGTGCCATTGTATTTAGAGAACAGGCCTTTATTCTTCTTTTGATAGATGGGGGGCAGGGGGGAAGTGGGGCAGAGCGCAGTAGGGAACTGTATTCTGTTCGGTCATGTGCGCCTCTGTCAAAGCGTGACAAAATTCTGCCTTGGTTTGTACTCCTGGCGTCTCATTTAGGACAATGTCATAGTAGATTTGCAACTGGGGGTAGAATTCGACTAGCAAGGTCTCTTTTTTAATTGGAAATATATGGTGCATTCGAACTCCTAGAGCACAGAGAGTTATAGCTGAGGAACAGACCAGCTGGCAGCTGTATACTTAATTGTCCACAATGGAGAGAATGATTCAGTAGCACACGCCTTGTCTTGACAGTGAAAGATTGTCCTGTATTGAATAACAATCAGTAATTTAATCCTTTGCCTTTTTTCAGTGAAATGCATCCGAAGCGTGCCTGCCTATTTTGCTGAGACTTTGTATTATTCCATGAAGGTATGTATGTGTTTCCCATATGTCACTTTCCACCTCCCCCAGCTCCAACTCCTCTCCCTTCTGCTTGTTCTTCATTTTTTCTTTCACTGTAAATGCCAACAGAATACTATATTACTAAGCATCTGCAAAAGGTTTGAGGAATGCAGATCTGGGAGAGAGGATTCATAAACTTTACTTCGAGTTCATTGTAAGTTTGTCAGACCATAAATCTTTTACAGGAAACGTCAGTCTCATCAGCTGTTTTTGGACTTGCTCTTGTTACACTGGAAAATGTCTAGCTAGATCCTGGGCACCTTCAGCTAAATAGGGACTACAGTGTCTTTAGGTGGTGGATATATTGAGGAAGTAAATATGAACAAAAACTAAATTGTAGATAGTGCAGATTTAGTGCTTTTTATTTTGGAGATGAATATTTACAGACTGAAGGTGTGGATAGCTTTGAAACGCATTGGGATGACCATTCATCCCATTTTGAGAAGGAAAAGAAATGCATCAAGAGAAAAAGGAGAGAGTCTTAAACAGTTATGAAAGATTCTGCACGGGAATCCCATCAGTGACGCAGCTGTGTTTCTGTTGGCTTCGCTTTCTCTTGGATTGGAAGAGATAACCAGGGAAACCTGTATTTTTAACTCACAGTGGCTAATGTTAATTAAAACCGAGGTAGGTAGTCTGTTGTTTTCAGGCAAGTTATCAGCTTCCCTGAAGAATTTCTCCCTTCCCCTTGCTGGAAAGCACTGAGGCATGTTTGTCACCAGGTGGTTGTGTTGATGAGGTGTCAGCATGAGAATTAGTGAAAAGAGATGAAACGATAGCTTAGTTTTTAAAAGCTGCTTTACAGCTTTTATGAACATCAGTGTAAAATAAGGTTTAGGTGGAAAATACAAAACATTATACAAGTATGCTGACAGCTGTATGAGGAGGACTACTTTTTTCTTATTTATCTATTTATTAATTTTTTTTTTTAAAGAATGCAATAGAAAAGCCTTTCCTCTGGGTTTTAGAATCTTTTACATTTCTATTATGAGGGGCCTGATTAATGTCTGCTGGTGACATCCTTAGTTATTTTTTTAATGTAAATAAAAATCATCAAGCACTTTGGATAAGGAAGATCATAATTTATCACTTTGGCAGAGAGTTTGTCCTTCTAATTAATCAGTTTGTCATGACAAAGTTCTACAGTGCGCAGAGTTTGCTTTCATGATTAGATGGGGCAGAGCCTGACTTTTACCAGATTCTAATGTTAAATCCTACTTGGGAACCACTGGACTCATGGCGTAACTTTTGAGCAGCTTTAGGGCATTTTTAGATGTAATCCGAGAATATTGCACCCAGTCGAAGGATTGAGTGACCCTGGACGTTAGGCTGAAGATGATCGTGGGGGCTCTGCCAAGTCCTTCCTTGAGGTGCATTAGCAGGTCAGCATGTCAAAATTTGTGTTGCTTCAGCTTGTGTGGAGTCTGACTTGTCTGAGCAGGAGGGGTCAGGATGTTAGTCTGGCACTGCCTGCCAGCACAGGAACTTAAAATGTTTAAAGCGATAAATAGGAATAAAAGACTGGAGTGTGTTTGCGTGGCTGGAAAAGGTTTATGAAGTTTGCCTTCATAATAAACAGCTGGATAATTTGTGGGATGAGTTGCTCTGCCTGCGTCTTGCTGTATGATGTTAAACGCTTTGTATTAGTCTTTGTTAGGATTTATGTACCCGGTTCCAGAACCGACTGCAATTCTGCAGTCTCAGACTACACTGAAAGTGTGCTTTGCATGTGATTCCGATCGTGACGATCGGATATACTACTATGTAATCTTGGAACTGGATTATTTTAAATTTATATGGGCATTCACGGTTGAAGCCTGTGAGATGAAACATGAAATAAGAGGTCTGACCCTACTTCATAGAAGTTCAGGGATTAGAACACCTTGCGTGGTCAGTCCTCTGTTCTCCACAGTGCAGTGTGAATGTCTTGTGATATTGTCCCAGATACTGTCTGTTTTGGAGCAGAAATGTAGTGCAGGAGCGTTCTGAGACACCACTTGTTGCACTTGGTGCTTTCATGTTGCACTCTGGTTGTTTGTATTTGTTATTTTGCTATACAATCTGTCCAGAACAAACTGGTATTTTAATATTATTTAAACTTTTCTTTTTAGGGGGCTGGCACTGATGATGATACCTTGATCAGGGTCATGGTTTCAAGAAGTGAAATTGATCTGTTGGATATTAGACGAGAATTAAGAAAGAATTTTGCAAAATCATTGCATCAAATGATTCAGGTAAAATTACTGTTCTGTTGTCAGGGAAAACGGGTGATTGAGATGTCATTGTTTCCAGTGTTTATTTTTATGGAAGGGGGCGGATGTGAGTAGAGCCGGACAACACAATGCACTCTGAGAGCGGTGGGGGTTGGTCTGCAGTTTTGGGAAGTACTACATAGTGTCATTTAAGTGGGAGACACTTCCTATGAAAAGCTAAAGGTTTCTTTCCAGTGTTCACTAGGAGAGCAGATGTGGTTTTTTGAAATTACAGTTACTCATACACCATTTTTAGCTACTGCTTCGTTTCCTTTTTCTTGTCTGCGTTCCTTCTAATTTTCAGTGCTTCAGAAAGGCTTCAGAGAAATAATATTGGGGTTCAGGCTCCAGAGAAACAATATTGGGGTTGGGAGTCCAAATTATCATGAGGTTGAAGTTTAAAACCTGGTTTGTGGTGTGGAACCTTTTGCACCATTTCAAAGTGGAAAGCATTTCACTGTGGAATCAGTCTGAATCATAATCTCCTTTGAGTGGATGGGAAGGAGCAGGAGGGGAAAGAGCCAGCAAGCAATCCAGAGCCAGCTGTTGCTGCAAAGTTGAAGCCAAAATGCTTTTTTCTCCTAGGAATTTTTTGGGGGTACTTTGTTTTATTTTTAATATTTTAATGCTGCTTTTTACGATTTTCTGTTATCATTTCTGTCATTATGCTCTCTTAATTAGGCTGGGTGGAGTTGCTTTTGACACTGTCAGTCAGGCCCATAGAGCTGTCCTGCGGAATTAGTAGCTGAGCTTCCCCTTAATTACAGGGAGCAGGGCTGGGGCCTTTCTAAGCAACTTTGCACATTTAAAGGTCTTTGCTTTTGGTGCTGCTTTGGGCTTCTTTGTTTGGACTTTCTCACTTGCAGACAAATGCATTCTGATATGCAATGGATAGCTCAGTTCTAGTAAAGCTTTCGGAGGCTTTTTGTGTTTCTGAAAGTCTGTCTGTGTAAATATAGCTCTAACATAAGAGACAGAGAATTTCCTTGCGTCATTCCTGAGTGGAGTCATCCAAGTGGATTTCCTGTGGGTGGGACAAATGTATAATCTGTTGGAGTCCTCCTTGGCTGCTGCTTTTCTTCACATTTCTGTGGTTGTGACTCATGGTGACTGGTCTGTTATATTAACAGAAAGATACATCTGGGGACTACAGGAAAGCACTCCTGCTCCTCTGTGGTGGAGATGATGAGTAATGGTGACAGTGACACAAAGGATTTGTACTCCAGCTTTGCAGCCCTTTAGTTAGCATGTCTAGCTAAGTTTTTGTATCTTAATGCTTTGTGGCTGTTTAAATTTATACTAGTATTGCACTTATTGAGCGTATTGTTATCCAAGCGATAGCTGGTCCCTCCTCTTCCTGATATCCCAACTTCCAGGAATTCAAGTGCCTTCTGTGAGTATGGAAGATGCGTACTGAGCACAGAACCCAGTTCTTTGCAAGTGTTTTGCTGAAATAGGAAAAAAAATAATCATGTATTTCACTAATAGTTTGAAGATGTTTTTATTTTTGCTTTTATTCCTTACATTTCCACTGAATGTTAAGCTAGCTCTAACATTGCAAATGAAGAAAAGATATCCTTTGTATGTAATATTTGAATGAAATTGCTGAACCCAATACTAGCAATCATTGGAAATCTAAAGGACCAATAAATTTTTTCCCTCTCAGCACAGTTGTATGTGGTTTTTAATGGGCAAAGATGTATTTTCCCTTTCATATGATTCCACTGCTTCAAACTGTTGGTATATTTTTTCCTGCTATCATGCAGGCTTTTAAGTATATATGATGTTTTCTTGATGTCTAGTCTAGTATATGGGTGCTGTAGTGGTGCTGCTGTTCAGGATAGCTGGAATACCAAACTATTGGTACTTGCTGGGCATTGCATTCTCATTTTGTGCTGCTTTGTCTTTGTCTTCTCCAAAGCTGGGGGAAGGAAGGAGAGCTGTTTGCACAGTGCCAAAGTAGAGCAGATATGCTGCACTTGTAGGACCAGTCGAAGATTTCTGGGATGGAAGCCGGTGAAGAAGAGGTGGGAAGACAGTGATCCATACTTCAGGGATTTTGAGTGAAAAGAGGATGGTTGCATCACCGCCCTCTCATCAGGTTAGCAGGGGAGCAAAGCACAGTGTGAGAGAAGCACCGGTTTGTTACATAGGCTGCCTTAAATTCACTGCTTCGGTTCATCATTTATGACTGGCTCTGAAAATTAAATTGGCATGTGTGAAGGAGAATAAAGAGACTTCTGTTTCATGCATTTATAAGGTCTAAACACCATGGTTCTAAACTTAGCTTATCGGTTAGTCACATAAATCAGCTGTAGAAACTGCACATTTTAATAGTCCTGTTGAAATTGATTCTTCACAGATTACTAAGAGCTTTAAAAGTTTCATATTGAATACATGTGAAGTACTTTTTTTTGTGTTGTAATTCTGAATTATTACTGTCATGATCTTTTGCTAATAAGTACTTGGTTTCCAATGTAGGATATGAAAGCTCTTTTTATAAGTAAATATGTAAACTAAAGCCTAATCCACTCTAAAACCTTCTTTGTTTTCCATTCTTTCACATACATGTGTTCACTCTTTAAAAATCTTTCCTGCTCATACACTGTCACTTTCACTCTCTTTCTCTGGCCTGCTGCTTTTTGTCCAAATTTAAGACTTACAGACTTAAAACCAGCATAACTGATTTTATTTTATTTTTAAATGAGACAGTTAAATGCTTTCCGCTGCTCTTCCTGAACAGTTTATTGAATTCTCTATGTTATTGCTGTATGTGGGGATGGCTGTGGGTGCGGTTTGCATCTGCACCATGGTTTAAACTGATCGAAATGGTGCTGCTGTAATCCTGCCCTGCCCTCTTCTTCAGGCTGCATGTTCCCGGCTTTCCAACATGCTGGCACTCCAGCTCTTCTGGCCCTTTGGGTGACCTGCCCTGGGCTGGCAGAATCCAACCCCACAGCTGCAGCCTGATGTCCTCAGGAACTCACTGAGGTGTCTGGTGAGGGCAGCTGCTGGCAGAGGGAAGGGCTAGGAACGAGTGCGGGGTGAGAAGAAATTTTGTGGAAAGGGAGGTGGGACTTAAGCTGAGTTGCTCTGGACTGGTGTCTGTTGTCACAAGCTGCACCTGGGATTAGGAGAGCCTCACAATATTAGCGAAGGAATTCTTCAAATGGCTTTCTGCAGATACAGGCCCAAATTAAGAAATTTAGGTTGAATGTGAAGTCAAAGGTGATGCCTGAAATCAGATTTCATGAATCTTACGACTGTGCCTTAATCGTAACATTTCCTCTTCCGCCTTTACTTGGCTGTGAGAGAGACTGGGGCAGAATCCAGATGTAGAGAAGCAACTTAAAAATGAAACCAAATGTACATAAAATATAGTTGAGACTTTATACGTAAAGACTGAAATAGAGTCAGTCTAGATAGATATAAGCTGTTTGTATGGTTTGCTACTGTGCCGGTTACAAACCTTGTCTGTCTATATTGTGTTTACCAGCTTGTCAGAGTGGTACAGTGTAGTGTTTTGGAATATGATCAAATGTTTTCCAAATAACATGACATAACGGTAATAATATTCAAGCACTAATATTTTTGTTAGATCTTTAGGTGTTTGGCAGAAGAAAAAACTATATCATGTGTTCAGATTTGATTTTCTTCTCTTTCCTGGGATTAATTTTAAGCATTTGTAAGTTTTGCTTTTTGTCAAGTCTGTACAATATGTTAGCAAGGACTGTTAATTTGCAGTTAGTCATCCTTGAATAACATGGCCAGCTGCATGCACTACAAGCTTAGCATTACCACTGCCTAGAAATCTTGTGACGACAGAAAGGTTTTTTGGTGCGTGGGTTTGGTTTTTTTGTTTGTATTTTTAGTGAGTTAGTATTTGCTGAGGTAAAATCATGCACAAAATAATTGCTGGTGAGCAGCTATGAAAATGGCTGTGAAAATGGCTGTGTGGGATCAGATCTGCTTGGAGCTAGTAGTTTTCCTTGTTTGTACGCTTATTGACTTCTCAACGAATTTTTATAGGTGTAGGGGGCAAGACTTTCTTTCCCCAAAAGCTGTACTGGCTCTTCTACAATGTGTCACATTTATAATCCTCACTGCTGGTATTCATTATTATGGTTTTTATTCTTTTGTTCAGTGTGGATGTTGGAGCTACTGCCCTGTAGCTTCAGCCCAGTAGATCCCTCTACAATCTTTGCCAAAGCGCCACATTTACTGCTTTCTGCTGCTCTGGAGATTAGACACTATATTTAATTTTTCGTCGTCTTTCAGTTTCTTTAGAATTCTTAGGAAAATAGCATCTGATCTTCGTGATTTGTTACTGGTTCTTTTGTAGATTTTGTTGTGTATTTTCTGTTGACACTTAAAAGGCATCCTTCAGTGTGTGCTGTATATAGCAGGCTGCTGCTGTGCTTCCTTCACCAAAGGCAGAAGAGTCTGTGATGACTGCTGCGCATGTGAAGCTATTCCAGCAAAGCTATTCCACCATTGTTACAAACGTGATGCTTATGCCTTAAACTGACTGATCTAAATTCCTGTCAGAATTTATAAATAGTAACTCTGAACAGGAGTTGTGCTGGGGTCATTATAGTATCAGTCATCTACAGAAAGTTTTAAGATGCAAGTGGTGCAGAAGTGGTTGAAATTCCCTTTTGAAGTAACTAAACAGAGAAAACAATGTCTGACAACATACGCTTTCAAATAAATCTAATTAAAATGGAAAAAAGTTTATTGAATTGTATTTCTAGTATTTGGCATATAACTTACCTTTAGGAATACAAAATATGGGATCTCCAGTACAGTGCAATCCTAAGATAACTTTAAACGACAGCTGCCTATGAATTAATGACTTTCTTTGTGGCAATAATCAATCACTGGTGTTTGTTTTTCTTCTCTCCACCTTCTGATTTTGATTAATGAAAATTTGTGTTCAGTTCATTTCTGGCTCAATTCTGAAGTGTTGGGTAAGTCCTATCAATGCCTTTGCTAAGTCAAGACCAAATTGTAACATGAGCAGTAAAATCAACCCTCTTACATATGAGGAAACTCTTTTAAAGCAAACTTCAAGAAATCAAATATTGTTGGTTTTGCCTACTCTGCCTCCTTTCTTTTCTCTCCATCCCACACAAATATGATATTCTTTATCTGTTTTCATTGCAAAGTGTTTATCCTAGTGCTATTACACACAGCGTATTGCATGAAAAAATGGAATTACTAGCTTATTTACTTGATTTTTTTTCTCAATTTTTTGTTGATGCATATCATTTTTTTTTATTCATGATAAATGCTTGCTAAGTGAAATTGGGCTGCTTATCTTGTTAGATAATCCAGCCATTTAGAGAAAATATGGTTGAGGCCTTTAAATCTAAAATAGAAAAAGGACTTGTACTGAAGCATAGAGTTAATTTGAAGAACTAAACAGGATTTTGTGGACATGTATCACTGGATCACCCGATGTGGTGGTGTTCATATTATTTCTTTATCCCATTTCAACTCTGGAATTTCTGTGGGCATTTACTCAAATCTTGTCTTGAAAGCAATAATTTATGAATAAGGCAAGACTATGTGTGAAAAGCCTAAGCAATAATAACTTTTTTCTCCTTTTTCATTTAGTGAACAATACATCTAAAAGTCATAGATCAGCAAAGTATGTCCAGCGTACTGGTGAGTGAGTCATTATGCTGGAGTGCGAATGAGAGCTTTTGTGTTCTGTCTAGGTGTTTTTGACATCCTTTAGAAATGCAACCTGATAGTATTCGAAGCTGATGTTTTCTTCCCCTTCCCCTGACCCCCCAAAGAGGAACGGGGCTGCTGGACCAGTGACAGCATACAAAATTTTTTTTACTGCATTTTCATTTCAAGCTTGTTGGAGAGTGACTGAGTATGGAGAAATGAGATTAGATAAATCCTTAACTAATTCAGATGCTGATTTCTCTGCTGAAGCTGTTAATAGAGATGCTGACTTTGAGCATGATTTCTGTCTTGTCAGAAGTATAATGAAGTGCCTCAGAAATGGGACCTTTTCAGAACTTAACTTGTTTCTTCCCCCTCCCCGCCATTTCATCACTGTGACCATAGCTATACATTTGTCTGTTCTTTAAAGAAATTAATTATTCTTCACGTAAAATCTCTGCTCCAACGCCTAGAACAGGCAGAGCAGGCAGGCTCTTATCTTCCTCCATTTGGCATTCAAGGAGAGGAGAGGTGACTGGTGTAGAACATGCAGCTGCTCTGGATTGCTTTCATCAGAAATAGTAACTTTGTCCTCTGAATGATTCCTTTCTGTGTCTTGCAAGTTTTAAATGAAAGAAAAAAATGTTAAAAATGATGTTGAAAAGAATCCAGAGCCTGGAATAAGTATGTGGAATGCGACTACAAAGCACTTTGTAGATAACTTACCTGTCAAGTATCTGTAGTTCATTACTACCGACACTGCATTTCTGACTGGT